CTAAACCGCTACGAGCCAATATGCCAATATGCCAATATAGAATAGAATAGAATAGAATAGAATAGAATAGAATAGAGTAGACTACAATAGAAGAGCAATTGCAGGAGTAGGCCTAATACATATATTATTATAGCCTCTCAGGTCTTAAAGGCAAATTAAAGCGTCTTTACTACTTTAGCCAAATCATACTTACTTTACTTCGCTCTTCGCTTTTCTTTCAGAAGGAAGACAAGATGAACTTCACTATTGCATGCATAAAGAAAGGCTACTACCCCGGTTATCAAATCAGACTGCTTTAGGACTCTCACTTTTGCCTGAAGCCTGGAGATCGGTGCTTGGTGAAAGCTTTCTAAGCGAGGCATAATGTCATAATGAAATGAACATATAAAGGATCAGTGCAATTTCAAGTGCAAAAGTTCCTAAAACTCTTATTTATTAGTCAAAGCTTTTTGGCCTCTTTCCCTGGGATTGATTTAAGGCATGAAAAAGCGGTCTTTTTGGCATCCTTAGTCCCTTTGCCTTCACCTTTTCGATTTCTGGCTAGGACATAAAAATAGAATAAATAGAGGATAGTTGAAGAGTTAGCGAGCGAGAGCTCTTTCTTAAACGAAGGGATCTTCCGGGAAGTGCAGAAAGAATCGCCATACAAGCTGGAGGTCCTTCTGAACCTTTTCCTTATGTCGCATTTCAAGCAGCACCAGCTAGCTAGAACTAGAATAAGGCGACAGATGACGATTGAACCTACCCGATATCAAGAACCTTCCGCATCTGACTTTCACCATACCCTTACTTGCTTGAATTTCATAGTTCGATTCCCCTTTGTTCTAAGCCCAAAGGCCTTGTCTTGTGAGTCTTTCTTCTCCCAAGTTCTGATTCATTCTGAGCTTAGGCTGTAAAGGACTCTCTTGAGCCAACCTTCGGTTCCCTCAGCTTCTCGCATGAGCCAATCTAAAGCTTTCCCCAAACGGCTTACTTCTTGCTTGCCTCGGCTTCTTCTTATTCTTAAAGGGCTTCACTTCTTTATTGACTTTTTCAAACGGAGCTTCACTTAAAGAGTTTCCTGGCCTTCCTCCTTTCGCTTGCTTTCCTGCCCCCCCTATCTATTTCTGGCTTAATACGGGATCGGGCGATAACTATAGCTATAAATAAGTAGTAGAGTAGCAACGAAGGCTCATGCTCTATGGCTGCGTCTTTGAATATGGTTACCTTCTCTTCTAAAGTAAAGCTAAGGAATGCCCTCTTTTTTTTATGAAGGCTTCGGATCTCATATCGATTTGAAAGTGAAAGACCCCCTAACATAATTCGAGGACGGCTATTCTCTTATTGTTATTCTGCTCGCTCTCATTCGCTTGAGTAGACCCTTCGTTCAACTCTCCTTCAACCTCCATCCTTGCCAGACTAGAATGAACTTCAGGACCCAGGAAAGGCAGATAGAGAGAACCCGGAAAGAGATTCATCAGCCAGCACACCTTCAAGATCAAGAGCTGCTAACAAAAAGCAGTACCGAAAGAGTTCACAAAAGAAAGCCCGGTGAAATCTCATAGGTTCGGAACCTCCGGAAAGGCTGGAAAGACTATGTTCTGAGGGATCTAGAAAGCCCGAGACGGGGTAAGGTAGACCATATTCTGGAGGGTCGCTTTCCTCCCCTACTAAGTAAAGCAACCAAAGTCAAAGCAAGCTCAAAGTCTTTCTGGTCAGGCTTTCCCCTTCCCTCGATCCTGATAGGGGCTTCCAAATCATGAATATTTTCTGGCAGACTCTCTATAGTAAATGGCCTTTTCTTCCTCCTCGCTCTTACTTTGAAGTTCGAAGGTTCCTCTCCTTCACCGGAGGTTTGCTTCGCTCTTCAACTATTCCTATTCCCAACCCCTCTTGTCGACCAACCAAGACGGCGAAATGCCCGAAGATGAGCTAAGCTATTAAAGCTCTTAAGTCAGGGTCCGAAGGAGACTCGACTGTTAAGGAGAGGAGGTTTGTGCTCAGTCTCAAAAGAAAGAAAGTAAGAAAATCCTTTTTCTTGGAACATAGTACAGCCAGCCCCAGGTGGAGAAGAGCCGATATCGAGGTGCCAAACCGATTTGGAAGAGCTTCACTGAGGAAATGCAATTAGCTTGAGTGAGTGATAGGAAATTACGATTACTTGAATCTCGATCCCCCTTGACTTAGTAGGGGAGTGAATAGAATCTTACTATACTATACTATACTATACTATACTATACTATACTATATACGGGGCTTGAATCTTTGTCCTATTATCTTTAGCTTGAGCCATTAATTAAGCTAAGCATTAGTCCCTGCCTATGAGCACCAGTTGATCCAGGAAAGACAGCCGGTGAGAAGCCTACGGTACGGAAGGTGAGGATAAGTAAACCTACATGCGCCTAGCAGCAAGATCGAATCTATTATAAACTTGAAAGGCAGTAAGAAAGTAAGTAATGACATCCTTTCCCGGATATCCCCTCGTAAAAGAAAATCTATATAGCCAGATCCCTGTCTTCAAGCCAAACCCGTGTAATGTAAGAAGTCACGTCTTGCCTATCTTTACTCAATGTTCATGAATTCACTCTTTAACGAGAGGCGGCCTACCTACTAAGGCGCCCAGGGAGATGGAGATCAAAAGTAGAATCCTTTCCCCTGACTATACTATACTATACTATACTATACTATACTATACTATACTATACTATACTATACTATACTATACTATATAGGGCGGGGCATTAGACCGATTTGACTCTAAATAGTGCCAAAAGAAAGAAGTCGAATACTTTCATTGGTTTTATATATATGGATTTTTTGATGAAAGAAATTTTCAGTACATTACATAAAGTGCGACATTTAAAACAAAGAGATATGAATTAGAAGGTCGGCAAAGTCAGGAAAGCCTGGCCTGATTTGGCTTAAACTCCAGTGAGAGGAAAGTGTTAGGGGTGTTAGGTTGGCTCGGAAAGCGTTAGGTTGGACACCATAGCATTGGTTGCTTTTTTCCCTAAAGAGAGGCAAGCGAAAGCTTGTCTTAGAAAGGTAGATAGGAACCTATTAGTATAGTATTACCTTTGATAGGAACCCATTAGTCTTTCCTTTTGGGCTAAGTCAAGTTTGGGCCGAGTCTTTCCTTTTGTTTAGTGCCCGGGAGGGGTAAGAGACATCCTTCCATTCACTTCATTTACGCTTTCGGTCTTTGTCAGTAGCGAGTAAAGGGACTCTTACTTTTTGGCTCGACTCGGAAGGCACTGCTTTACCATACTAGTAGGGATCCTCTGAGGGCTTGTCTAAGGCTGATTTCTCTATGAATGCTTGGGACAGAACTGATGTATGAGCGACCCTATTTGAAAAGGACGAAGCAACTTCATTTGATTTTCATTTCCATTGCCTTTTCCGGTGGATTGCTGAACTAGTGGGGACGGTCCCTCCCCTACACGTAAGACTGAAGAACTCAACTTGGTCTAAGCTAAGCAAGCTGCTAGTCTATCCATAGCCTACCAAATCTCATGATGGTTAATAAGAGTTCATTAACAGACAGGAAGCCCCATTGCTCAAAGTGCTTTCATCCGCTCAAGGAGCTTCCATTCAAGAAGTCTTCGAATAAGCATCCGACTAGCTTCAATCAGTCTGTCTGCCAAGGGCCCTTGGTTCACCAAGTGGTATAGGAGGTGCCGCGGGTCCTGCCCCCCTTTCTGCAGTAGCTCTTTCTATTGAATAAAGAAAGATTTCATATGTAAATAAAGTCGTTTTGCTCTCCCCCAAGTTCATCTTACGAAGCAGGATCCGGGAATGGAGAAGAAGGGGAAGGAACTCGACTCTACTGATATAAGAATCCTTCGTCCTTTAGAATTACGCGGATTTTAAAGAATGAGCTCATCAAGACAGAGCAATCAATGGCCGAGCTTTAAGCCCTTGCAGCTATAGAGCTCGCTTTCCCATAAATAAGGGAAAGAAGGAAGGCTTGCACGCTGCCTTGGTTGGTTCATTATTGGAAATCGTCTTTTAATCGGTCAAATAGGTTCAAGACGTTCAGTCTCGTCAACAGGGCTTAATGCACGCGATAGGGATGGATGGCTTTACGATCCGCTGGGATGAGAGAAAGCAGCAATAGAGCGGACCTAACCCACTAGGCAAGGGTCCGAAAGGGAGTGGCATAGGCACAACCCGAACCAACTATCAGTATAGTAGCCGGGCGGGGCATGGAACCCTTTCATAAGGCGAAGCGAGCTTTGATTACGCGAACCAAGGCCTTTGCAATAGGCCCAGTGATTGGTAATAGCCAAGGGAAGAAAGACCATATGAGACAGAACGATCTACAGTCCAAAGCCTGTGCTGTGTGTGCAGCATCCCTGTTCATAAAGTAATATTTCGAGGCAATGCAATTGTCCTTCGCACAACTTAACGAATCATTTTGATCGACTACCGCTAATTCTATGTAAAATTCTGACAGCTGCTTACTGCTTCTTTTCTAACCGCTGCTTTCCTTCCCCTATGCTTTCATGCAGAAACCCGACACCGCTCTTTGCTGCTGCTTATTGTCTGCTAGCTCTCTTAGCTGCTTCCTGCGTCTACAACAGATCCTGCAGTTTCGGCTTCGACACCAGCGGCTACTTAAGCTGAAGCTCCTGTTCAAGGGAAGGGTTCCAAACCAGCCTTAGAACTCACCTTAGACCCTTCCCAGGGACCCAGAAGCAACCAGAAGAGAAAGCCCAGCCCCCTTATTAGTAGCCGAAGTATAGGCCCGCGTGAGATCAAAGTCACTTGCCGTCCGTTCGCTCTCTGTTCAACAAAGGCCATCGATATTCACTCACTTCTTTCTTTATACAAATCTTCTGCCCAAGCCCAACCATTATATGAAATAAAATGAAAGCACTGTGATTATGATATTCGATTTTGGTCTTGACGTGCTTTGAAAGAAATACAGATATGATTTGCACTAGAATACTTACGATAGACCCACCGGGAACACATTCACTACTGGGCATTGACATCTTAATGCGTTGCAATCTGGGCAT